CCAGAATGGTTTGTTACTAGTGTTCCACCGATACCATAATTTACCGATACTTTCGATACCGATATTACACTTAATGTATGCACAAATACCAACTTCGATACCGATACATGTACATATGTTGAAATTAACAAAAATTGATTTTACATAACATAATTAACACTCAAAGTTAACAAGATGTAAGTTTCTATTTAAAAAGAGTAACTTGTCTAACTTATCTGGAGAAAGATGGTTACTGGATTCTGTCAAGATATTACCAGCTTGGCTGAAGAGTGGTGGGATTTTACTTCTCCTAGTAGCAGGAGGAGACATGTTTGAAGAGATGGTGGGTAACTGCACTGACTCAGTAGGAGAAGAAGATGCAGAAGTCGAGGAAGAAACAGTAATTTTGTTTTTCACCATGTGATAATTTTTATTCACGATTAATAATTAATTAATTACAATTAATTAAACTACTCATACTTGCTATTACAATCAATTTAATACTGATTCAATACCGATACTTTAGTATCAGTTCCGATGTGAGTACAGATACCAGTATCGGTGGAACACTATTTGTTACCACAGTGTCATTTAGACTTACCATGGAGTTGTTGGCTCCAAAGATGCTCCGGATCCTAACTTAAGGCCTTTTCACACTTCAATTAGCATCAAAACGAATTTTTTCGATTCAGTAGTTCTTCTTTTACAATGCGCATTATACCTTTTCACACTACTAAAATTGTAATTAATTAAAGACGTGGTTGTAGGTATGACTTATAATCTCTACTGTTCCTGTTTCTAATAAATGACTTATGCAGGTCAATATGTTCCACAGGGGCACCAATACAGGATTTAGCCTACAAAAATGATCAATTTTAGCTGATGAAATGAATATAAAGTCATTTACCATTTATCTTACAGAAATGTTAGGAGGTGGGACAAAGTTTTCTTAAATAACAATAATTCACATATATAGCATGGCTTTCTCATTTTGATAGTATTGCTCATACCATTTTTCTTGCTCGAGCAACTGAATGGGACAGAACTGGCAAATGTTAAGTTATGTCTAACTCTAAGTTACTTAGAGCACCAGTCACTGTAAATGATTCCAGCTCTTCATCATCGCTCCCAGAATCCTGCAACTCTTGCAGACCAGGCCATGGAGTAGTTAGCTAGTAGGAATAACAGAAAGCTTATGGTTATGTTCAAAGTTGTACTGGTACCGTATGTCTCTTAGCCCCTATTGCTCTCTTCCTTATTCTTGCCTCAAGTCTTTGAAGGAACCTTGTAGTTAAATATGCTATATCTTGCCAGCACCATGACCCGGAGAGCTAACTGCCAGTAGCTGGCGCAAACACATGGAACTAAGGAGTGAGGAAGAGAAAATCCTTAATCTCACAAGCATCTATAAGATGTGATGTGAGATTGTGATTCCACTAATGGAGAGGTGAATATATGACAATGTATTTGGCCGATGAATATCATTAATTTTAGCAAATTTCAAAGGTATAAAACTTGGATCATGTGAGTCTGCTAGTCGGTCATAAAATTTTTTGCAATAGCTCTCAGAGTAATTAACACACTTTAGACTATAATGTATATGCATATACCGTATTTCCTTAAATAGAAGCCGCATTCGAATAAACGCCGGGGTAGCAATACAATTTAACTATAAATATGCAGCACTAGCCTAGGAGTGACTCACTAGTCTAGTGGATAATGCCTGCAGTTCCAGAAGTCAAAAGCATGAGGCCACGGGTTCGAATCCCTCTCTGTGCTGAAGTTTTTTTTATTTTTTATATATTTTTTGGAGGTCCAAATATCATTTTAGGAAATAGACGCCCGGGCTTTTATTTAAGAAAATACGGTATATATACAACAACTAAACTAATAGCTTATTTTCAAAACACAACAACTGCTACTACAAAATAACAGTAAGCATGCTAAATACTGAATAATTCAAGTAGAATAAATGGAACAAAGGAAAAGAAAAAACTTAATTGGTTCATGTGTCCTTGAAGGAACAGTGATGAATATAAACAATAATCGATATAGAGTAAGTAATAGAGACACCCTCTATGGAGATGATAAAGAGCTGTCATTGTTATCATTAGATTGACACTCCTGTAAATAAGGAGAAAACACAATAATGAAGGCATTATGGACTGGGTGGGTGTCATATATTCACCTCTCCATTAGTGGAATCACAATCTCACATCACATTTTATAGATGCTTGTGAGATTAAAGATTCCTGATCATGGAGAGGTGAATATATGACAATGTATGGTTCAAAGACTAACCAAAAGCACATTAAAATCAGAATGAGAGGGGGCGGGTTTGTGATAAATCTTTCAAATGTTGAGGCTCTAGACCAGC